GTGAGTTTGTAAGACATTGTCGCAGTCGTAAAACCAGGATCTGGTCTCAGAGAGACGTGGAACAGTTACTATTTTGTACCCGTTACGTTGTGTGACAGCAGAAACAGAAAAATAAGAAATTCAGCTGTAGTAAAACACAGTTTCTGTGAGCACAGAGAGCGGGAGAGAAGCAAAAACACAGCGTACAAACCACTTTTTTTTCTCTCTGATCCTTTAAAGAACAACCAGACTTTCAAAGCTTTGGATCTTTGGAAACTTTTACACCAAACCGACTCAAAGTGCAGCGCTGATTGCAGTCGACCGACGACCGGAGCCAAAACAACCGACGTCATGATGCAACAATTATGTATGACGCTGAAGAAACACATTTGTTATTACAGCTGGCTCGACTCTTGAGCTAATTTCTCGTGTGTGGAGTTAAATCCGGTCGAACGGGGATCCCTGTTTTTCATGTTCGCACAACTTCCCCCACCCTGAACCCTCCCAGTCGACGTGGAAGGTGGGTTTGGTCCAACAGCAGCCGTGCAGATCCAATACAGCCGGTGCATGTGTCGAGTTTCCCCATGAAGAGCAGCGAGGCAGGGTGGACTCTACAACACACACACACTGTGTTTCTGACCAGCCCATGCTCTCCAGTGACTCACAACACACACACACACACAAAATCACCAGCACTTCACTCACTCACGCACAACCTGGCACGCTCTCTTTCCCAAACACACACCCCCACACACAGCCTCTCACTATTTCATAAAGCACCAATAGCACTGAAAATACGTGTATCGGTGTGTGTTTGAAATAAAAGCAACAACAACAACAAAAAAAAAAAAGAGTGAGGGAGTGGAAAAAAAACGGCTGAATATGTGTGTGTGCAAGATGCAGCTGTCATGCATGCTTTCTGCATGTGTGTGTGTGTGCATGTGTGAAATAAATAGCAGTTTGACAGAGCGACAAAGAGTGCGTGTGATGCTAGCTGTCGCACCGTGCATGTGTGGCTCGTATAGCTGCCATGAGCCCCTCATGACTGAATGCCATTGAGGGCAACACAAACCCAGAATGGGGTCCTTTTCTATCGCCGCAAATAATAAAAAAACACACGAGACGAGCGGCAATTTTCCGCAATAAAAAACCAATGATGTGAACAGTCTAAACGGTGAAATAAAATCTGACTGTGTGCTTGCAGAGTGTGTGTGTGTGTGTGTGTGTGTGTGTGTGCGAGAGGAGGAGGGAGACGGTGGATTGGGGTGACAGGTCAGGTGGCAAAACAGCAAATCACAGCTGCACTTCCTAGGAACCGGCAAAATGTGTGTGTCAAAGAAAAAAGCAGCGTGTCAGAGCAGGAAGAGGAAAAGCGAGAGTGTGTGTGATGAGAGAGTAGTAGTGAGGAAGGGAGAGCGCACGAGAAAGCGCTGTGTGGTGTGTGTGTGTGTGTGTGTGTGTGTGTTGGCGTTTGTGACAAATAAATAGCAGCCAGAGAGCAAGCGAGCGGCGCTCTGATTCGGAGACTGGCAGCATGACTGACTGATCCCTGCATCCATATCATAGGATTAAAAAGCCTGACACGGCGCAGATACAATAGCAGCAAAATATGAGACAAAAAAAGTCGGTCAATGGAAAAGGAAATGTGATTATGAACCAGAACAGGCGAGAGGGAGATAATATTAAAAAATCTGACACACTTTCAACAGGAGCCATACAGTGCGAGCAGGCTGGGAGGAGGTGGGAGTTAACGCTGTCACCGGGCAATATAGAGGGAAGTAGGAAGAGGAGCTGCCAAATAGGAGCCTCTCCAATGATTTCCAGGAGCCAAGACACACTTCAGTCACACTGTCAGGGATGTGGCGGAGGGTGAAACCTGCCCAAATTCAGTTTACACACCTGTTCGTCTAAGCCTGACGGAAATCTTCCTCCTGTATGTCCTTCAAACTCCACTCAAACTGCAGGCGGTCACATGAAAGCTGGAAAAAAACTAACAGAACCAGGGCTTTTTATCGATTGTATTCGTTTTGGGGGGTCACAGGTCGCCGAGGCTTTTTCTTTTTTTTCCCCTCCCTTCTCTGCAACCGCGTCACTGCATATGGCCTGAGCCGGCATGCGAGCCGGCTGCACCTAATTATTCATGATTTTATGTAACAAGATTTTGTGTAGGAAATTAGGTCGGAGAACATACTGAGCACAGACCGGGGAAAAAAGTTTGATCATAAGCATGAGAACAGAGCTGCTGCACTATATTACTGACGAACCCAGTGTATAAGCACACAACACGCACAGTTACACATTTTCCTGCACACAACGCTCCAGCTACAAACCAGTCTGCACAATTCTTTAACGCTAGACTCCACCACTGGTTTCAATGTATACAAAATCAGAAGCATAACGAGGTGTATTTTGACATAAACACATCACAAACAAATTTAATATTACACTAGTTTCCACATAAAGCAGTTTCAAAGCAGACACCGATGCTGTTTCTTATAATAACTGTTAAAATACATATCAGTTGCCTGCGTCTGTGTGAAGAGCACAAACTAAATGAGCGTAGAAAAGTGAAAAAAGTTGGATTATAAGCAGAATAAATGAGAAAAGAGCTGCCGTATCGTGCCCTGACAATCACAGTATGTAGTAAACAGACAATACGGCAGGAAAAACACACTTTCTCATGCACATTCTGGCTCAAAACACCAGCTCTTAACTGGTTTGTGTAGTAAATTCTCATATTTAAACAGTAGAAAACTGCAGCGCTGGTTTTAAATAGAGCTGCGACTAATGATTATTTTCGTGGTGTGTGTTTTCTCTATTCGTTCTTTGGGCTTTGAAATGTCAGAATACGGCGAAAGCCTTCGATCGGTGGTTCCTGAAGCCCAAGATGAAGTCCTCAACCTAAAGATGTTTAGTTTTCTGTCATGGAGGAGGAAATAAACAAGAAAATACTCCCATTTAGGATGCTAGAATGAAAGGATGTGGACTTTTTAGGGGACTATTTTCAAACAAACCGATCACACAACTGTTTAATACAAAGCTAGTTTATACAGAACTTGGGTCAACATTGACTGTGTTTCTTGTATGAAACTGTTGAAGTATGTACTGGGTGAACTTGGAAAAGGGAAATTGAGAAACAAATGCAAAGAAAGAAAGAAAAAAACTGCCTCGTCACACGCAGACGACGCTCCTCCACGCTAAAGAGGCAACATACCAGTTAAAACACACATTTTTTTCATGCACAATCTGGGTCAAAACACCAGCTGTGCAGTAAATTATTGCATAAAACAGTTGAAAACCAGACTACGACGCCGCTGGTGTTGAACAGAGCTGCAACTAACGATTACTTTCAGTGTTGATTATTCTCTCCATCAGTTGTTTTGGTGTTGATGCTTTTGCTCAAATGTGTTGCTTCACCCACAACGCAAAGATATTCAGTTTGCTGTCCTGGAGGAGGAAAGAAACCAGAAAATATCTGCATTCATGAGTGAATTTCTGATTTATTTTAATGAAAAACTTCTCACATCAGTAGTTGACAACTGATTGATTCACTGATGAATTGCTGCAGATCAGTTTCAGGATAATTTACAAAAATAACATATGCACACAAAAGTGTGTTTACATGTAAATCTGGAACAAACTACTTTCACATGAAGCTAGATTGTACATGGAGCGGTTTTAAAAGCAGACAGTGACGCTGTTTTTCCATAGAAAAGTGTTAAAATACATATTGCTTCTATGTAAACCAGTACGAAACCAGTCTGCCATTAACTGGCACCGAGTCAGCGTCTGTTCACCAAACCAGTCCTCTGAACCAAACCAACGGCGCTCCGCTCGCACACGTACGATCGCACTAAACCGGTGTCTAAAAAACACACACAATTTAATAAACTTAACTGACTTATTTCGGTGCAGCTAAACACGCAGAAATCACAAAGCGACCGTCCGTTTCGCTGTAAAACAGTTTAATGTAAAAAACTAATCGGCAGTTGGCTTCAACCTGCGGCTGCCGTACAGTACGAACGCCGACGGTCCGCTAATGTGTCGGGAAGAAAACAGCCAGAAAAGCGCTTCTAACGCTCAAGACAGTCGGTTTAAATTCAAGTCAAAGCGTTAAAAAAAATGTCCGTTTCGGTTTTTTAAAAAACAAGTTCACAAAGCAGCCGTCCGTTAGCAGACAGTGTGTTTCTATACAGCCCGCTGACGGCGGCTTCACCTCAGATGACCCAACCAGCCAGACTGGCTGTCTGCTAGCTAGCCCCGTTTGAACCTACCGTGCAGCGGGCAACAACAACACTGGAACCGACACTACGAGCCCCAACTGTCACCCGCTCTACCGCTACCGAGACACCGAGAAAAGGAAAACAGCAATTTTTTTAGGAAAAAAAAATTAAAATACAGGATTTTTTTTTTCTTTACTCGGCTCGGCGGAGTAACTCGGAAGGGGAAGACGGGGAGAGGGAGCCAGCCAAAACAAATGCATTTCCCGACATGAAAGCACAACATCCAGAGACGGGCAGCCACGTTTCGCGCTGCTGTGTGCGGGGGAAAGGCTAAAGCTAATAGCTTCTTCGGGCTCATTAGCAGGGGCTAACCGGCTAACAGCTAGCTCCGCTGGCTAATAAATTTATTATGTGCACTTTCACCGGGGGTGGAGGGGGGACGGCAAAAGTTGGCGTCCAGAAAAACATCGCGAACCGGATGACATTCACTTGTCTGACAACTATCCTCAAATATAAGCGGAGAGCGGCGACTAAAGTTACCTGACAGCCAGGTGAATAACTGTTTTAATTCCAGTTTGGCTGCCGGGGTGATAGCAAGGTGATTCCCACTCAGAGAGGCTGTGATGGAGGGGGACGGTCGCTAGCAGCAGCAGCAGCAGCCTGGGCAGAGAGAGCCAGCCAGGCAGGCGGCTAGTCTGGCTGCAACCAAGCCGCTTTAATAACTTCACTTTTGCGGTCACTTTGGTCAAAATTTCTCTCCGTGAGTTAAAAAAATAAGAAGTTTCCAGTGTGTCCTACCTGTGTGCGGTCTCCGGTTGCAGGGTGCGACAGGCTGGAAGTTGATTATTCCCAGATATCCAGAGTGGTGCGGTGCGGGGCGCATATAGCTAGCGCTGGGTACAGTAAAGATTGTAGCATAGCTAACCTAAAGACAACAGTAGAGAGGAGAAAAAAAAAGCCTCCTCGTTGCTCATAGGGGGGATCGACGACAAAAACCACATGATCTTTTACGTCAGCATATATTTGCATAGGATGCCAAATTTATGTTTCGCGTCCAGGTGACGTGAAAATGTACAGAAAAGTTTGATTCTTGCGCCGCCGGACGCTGGCACGGCTGCCCGGGCTGCGGTGGAGAGAAGCGGGCGTGTGGCAGCCGCGCACCCCCTGTCCCCCTTCCTGCAGCCCGGAGCTGCACCAGCCTGCTGCTGCATCACTTGGAGCAGGGATGGCTGCTGTTCCACGCCACCATAACATACCTATATATCCATGCACACCTGTAGTGCTCTGCAGTGACTTTATAATGCATTTTATCCCATGCTTTGCCACTTTTTTTTTTAATCCACATGCTGCCTTTGCAACACCAATAATTACACTCCCAGCTCCTCTCTAATGTATACATCCTCTTTTTTTATACGTTTATTTAACCACTATGGGAGCAACTCTAGTCCCTTACAGCCTTTAAAACTCACATATTTGCAAAAGTGCATCTTTTTAAAAATGTAAACACGACACATGATGGCATGCGAAAGTGTGTAAAAAATGCCACTGCTCGGTTTTCCTCCTCTAACACCTGTTTGAGCCTCCAGCTGACCCTGCGAACAGCTGCAGCCTGCTCTGGTGCAACAGCATCATGGAGCCTCACAGCATCTCGTGTTAAATGTAAAGAAATGTATTTGTGATTGGTGCAAAAAACAAATAAATAAATAAAGGTGTGGGAGTACAGGCAAAGTTTCCCCAGTCGGCCACACTGCTGTCTGCATTTCATCAGGCTCGTGCATTTTTTTTTCTTTTTTATTTTTGATAAATGGGCTTGTTGTACCTGATCAGATGCAATAAATGCAGAAGCGTCGCCCCCTTGTGCCAAAAGATGACGGAGAGCGACACCAACAGGCCAACCTGAGACCTACACCCCTCCCAAAGGTTATTTAATGTATATTATATTTAGTTTATGAGTCATTTAAAGACCAAGAGTGGACTCTGTGCTCATTAAGTGACCCTTAACCCTTGTGATGTAATGCGATCCTCAAGCTACGCATCAGCCGGAGTGTAACGCTAAGATCGACACAGGGTTTTTCCTTTTAGCTTCACCGAGTTCCGTTTGGTTGGAACTTTGAGGCAGTTTAAACCAAATTTACTCAGATTCAGACACAGATTCTAAAAAGCCTTGTGACTCCTTGTTGGCCACAAGGTCAGAGGTCAAATATATGAACTCCTGCTGCGCATTTCTCAGTTTTCCTCCATTTTTATCCCATTTATCCCTGTTGTGTTTTATCCAATTTACAGGTTTTAACGCCACATCCTCATCATGTTTGTTTCTCTTGTGACTTTCTCTTCAGTGTTTACATTTTCAGCCTCTTATTATAGAGCTGTCAGTCATCTAGAAACACTGAATACATCTGTTTGAAAGGTGCAATAGAAATATAGAATGATTGATTAGATTCAGTGTGCTGCTCTGAAGGACCACTGCAGGAGGTCGATGTTGAGGCTTGGACCTTTAATTTGGACGATTACAGACAACTGTATTTACATTGCTGTCTAATTGTATTCATATTTTTATTGTTTGCTGTTTTTTGGTCACCAGAATCTGTTATTTAGAGAGTAGTTTTCCATGCTTTTATGAGCTGATTTTTTTTTTTTTTCTTTAGCTTTTTAAAAAAATCTTTCCATCCTGACATGGACTGGCTTTTCCCACCAATCAACAGCGAAAATCTTCAACATCAGCCAATTTCCTAATTGACCTTCCTTCTGCTGCAGCAGGTCTTCATCCTCTGTCTGCCAGTCAAGACTTTATTCAAAGTCAAATTCACCCAAGAAACTGCTCATTAAAGAGCTTAACTCTATTTCACATTGTGCATCTTGTATTTAATATGCTATCTCTCTGCTCAGACACATTTGGGGGACGAGCCGGTGAAAATAATGGAGGGCCTTTCGGAGCAGGATCGATGCCACAGCCTGAGTCATTTTTTTGCTGTGGAGTTTTCTGCAACTGGAAGCTCTTGCCAGTGTCTCCAGAATACACAATCAGGTAATGTTGCCAGGCAAAAGTGCCAGCTCTAACCAATAAGCAGAGTTTTGGCCAACATTGCTTAGCAACAAAAGTTAAAAACTGAACCACTCTAGGACTAAAATGGTCTTTAAAATAGTAATCAAGAACCGTCAGTGTCTCAAATTTAGGCAGATAAAAGAGGTTTTGGAGGCAAGAACGGCCCCGCTGGAAGGAAAAGAAAAGTTTGCCGCCTGCCCAGACGAAAAGGAGTCGTGCCGTCGAGGTTGATTTTACATTATTTGATGACAATTAAAGCTCTATTGTTTACCTCTAAGACCTTGAGTGCGTTCTAGGCGTGTTAAAGTCGCATCGTTTTTCGTCCTTTTGTGTCTGCTTCCTAGTTTATGTCTGTCGATGATTTGTTTCTTTGCAGTTTCACTCTCAAAAAAGAAGAATTGAAAGTTGCTCCAAACAGAGGTCGAGACCCAGGGGCACTCTGACCTCTTGGCACCCTTTGGGCCTCCACCCAGTGTTTTTATTCAGTTTTCCGTCTATGTCCATCACACATTTAAAGCAGAGACCTCTCACACAGAGAACTGAGAGAAGTCGGCTTCAGTGACCCGCAACTTCCAAAAGAGGAAACTCGGCTGAATCAAACCACAGGAATCATTTTCTTTTTGTGTTTCAATTCAGTCATTAACCAGATGGTCATTTGAATTTCGCAGTCCACTGCAAAACAGGAGAGAAAAAAAAAAAAGTGGCGACACACCCTGGGAGAGAATTTGCATATTATTGTGGTTTTGACAAAAAAAAAAACATGTATCTGTAAAAAAAGGGACTTTCATAAAAGGGGGTTTCAGAAACACAAAGGAGGCTTTTAGCAGGGGTCCACTCACCAGCAGTCATAAAAAATCAAACTATAACTGGTGCAAACTTTCACATTGCACATGAAAAGTTTAAAAAAATATATATAAAAATTGTGTGCTTTTTCTGAGTTTTCTTTGTTGTCTCGTGACAGAAGCTTTCGCAGCCTCTGGCCTCCTTCCCGCAATTAATCAAATGAAGCAGCCTGAAAAAGAAAAAGAAAAGTTATTATTTGGTGTCACAGTTCAGCACACTGTACCGGGGAGTGTTTGTGTGTACTGAGGGGCTGGTTGTTGTTTTTGGGTTTTTTTTTGTTTTTTTTTTTGCTGGGTTAGAAAACTAAATATATTTGGGAGGATGTAACAGTGTGACAGGGAGGTTTGACGAAGTGGCTTGTGGATCACAAACAAGCAGCGCCGCTCCAGCTCAGCGATGAGGACGCGAAAGGGTTGGTATTAATAATTAAAAATGTAGGAAATCACTACAAATTAGAACAAAGACAGATGTCTCATGCACGAGCCAGCAGGGAGTTTGAGAGCATGAGAGCTGAAAAAAAAAAAGACTTAAAATATACATACATGATGCATGATGTGAGAGCAGCAGGACTGTCAAACACCAGGCAGCAAAGAAAATGTGTCGAAATACGTACAGACTGCACTCAGTGTGTTGCTCAGATTTACAGCGCAAGCAGATACTTAATACGATCAATAGCAGTGACTCAGCAGCATTTTCAGCAGCTGCAACGGTTTTCCACTCTCTCAGTTTTGGAACAAATATAACCCTGAGGATCTGGACTTTACTGTATTTTCACACAGGCTGAGTGTGTGGACAGTAAGCTGTGACCATAACTTATGAAATGACTAGACTGACTCGCCTGGAATTTTATAAAACGCACTTTAAAACAAAGTAGAAAAGTAGTCTGCTTACTTTCTCACCTCAGCACAGGTGACCAATGGCTGCGTAAACCTGATGTGATTGGTTGCCCTCTCATCCGTTGGTTGGTCAATCTCCGCTGTTGCTTTTTATAAGGAGGAAAGCGCTGCGTCAACAGTCTTCCAGGATCAATCCATTGTTTTTGGCGACGGCTCAGTCTGACTTATTTAACATTTACGCAACGTTTAACCAGAACTAACTGGCGTGGTGCGAAACCAATGAAAGAACAGGCGAAAAGGTCCAGAATCGAAAAACAATAGATGCGAAATAAACACAAATAGATGGTGGTTCAATGCAAACAGAGATAAAAAACCACCTCTTAGACACACAAAAGGGCCACCATTACATGCAAAACGACTGTAAAGATGCACATAGATTTAAAGTGACTCAGAAACACTCGAACAAATGTGAAAATAGTGCACACAGAGAACGAAACAACCACACAGAAAGGCAAATTACTCAAAATTAACACCAAGAGCTACAAAAAAAGGCAACAAGGACACACAGAAAGACCAGAAAGAGAAGCAAATCGACCACAGAGAGACTGAATCAAATAGAAAGTGATGCAAAATGAACACAAATAGATGCTGATTCAGTGCAGAGATAAAATCACCTCAGACGCACAAAAGGCCCACTGCTGCATGCAAAACGGCCGCAATGATGCACAAAATGACCCGAAATAGATTAAAATTGAGGCAAAAGCACACAAAGAGATGCAAAATCAACACACACAGACAAAGCAATCACAAAGAAATGCAAAATTATCAAAAATGAATAGCAAGAGACACAAAGTGGAAACAAAAATACACAAAAAGCAGAAAGAGATGCCAAATTAACACAGAGAGATGCTGATTCAATGCAAACAAAAATAAAACCACCTCTGAGACACACAAAAGGACCGCTGCTAAATGCAAAGATGCACAAAATGACCAGAAAAAGACTAAAAGTGATGCAAAACGAGCACACACAAATGGAAAATGAACACAAGCAGGGACAAAACAAACACAAAGACATGCAAAATTACTCAAAATTAATAGCAAGAGCCACAAAATGACAGCAGAGATACTCATGGATGCTGGAAGATGCATCATGAGTGAAATAAACAGCCGGCTCCATTGGTGAGCATTCATCTTGTAGGGTGTGATGTGCCTTTATTT